GCCAAGATTAGTGAAAATAATCAAGTGCATCTTAATTAAGAGAAGTCACACCTTCGCAACATAGTTTTATTGAACAAATTGTTCCAGCAAGCTGATTTAGATGTTGGATTGAAAATATTTTAAAAATGATACACAAGAGCAGACCAACAGTTTGATTAGTTTGGTCTCTTCTGTAATAGGTGGTGATCAGTCACAGCAGCAGAAACCTTTATCAACCAATAGCTCACTTAAAAATAGAAAGACTTGCATTTATATAGTACCTTTCACAATCACAAGCACACCCCAAAGCACTTTAGAGCCAATGAGGTAGGTTTAAAGTGTGATCACTGGTAAATCTCTTATGCCCAGTCGATAAAAAAAGAGACCAGATGTAAATCTTTACTTAGTTTTTGGCTTCTTCATAGAATAACACATTACAAATGTATAGCTCGTAACCCTACAACCAGTGTCAATAGGTGTCTCTTCATATGTGTGAAACTTAATATTTCCAAAAGGCTTCTTTCTACCACCTGTAGACACTTAATCTTTATTTATAAATTAACTGCCACGCACACCATACAAGAACCACAGCAGCCAATTTGTGCAGATTAAGCTCTCACAGACAGCAATGTGATAATGACCAGATCATGTCTTAACTTAGCTGTGGACAAGAACAGGCAAGTTAAATGAAAGGCAAAAGAAAGAAAATAAATGAAGAAAAAGATAGAAGTTGGACCTGAAATTAAGAAGCCATATAATGCCAACAGAATGTAGAAGGCTGTCCTTTTGTAATGAACCTTTACTACAGCCTAGCTTGAGTTATAACAGACATCTGTGTCAAAAATTGTTCTCTGCTTCCAGTCTGCAAGCTGAAATCTGATATAGGAGGCTAAAATGCCACTGGAGATTGAAACATTCTGCTTGCATTAGCAATCTACAATGTTTCAGAAAATGTAGATCTGAAATAGAAAGATTTAAATAACATATTGCTTGTAACATACAGCATTGTGTCCTCTGATAGCAGACTCTCTCTTTTCACTGAAGATTTGACTTGTCCTATTGATTTTACTGGCAATGATTAGGGGACCCACCTGCCCAAAGTCCTGGCATGCCTGCATACATTCTGTGAAGATTGTCTTCAAATTCTTGCACTGATTCAAGGGGAAGAAGTTATTTGTCCTTTAGACAGGACAGTGGTCCATGGAAACTTTGCAGTTAACACAAAAATTATGGCAACTCTGGTGCAAGATGCTCAATTGATCTTATAGAAATTTGTAAAATCATGAGGGGCATGGATAGGATGAATAGTCAAGGTCTTTTCCCCAAGGTGGTGGAGTCTAAAACTAGAGGGCACAGGTTTAAGTTGAGGGGAAAGATTTAAAAGGGGCAATTTTTTTTTTAAAAAAACAGAGGGTGGTGCATGTATGGAATGAGCTGCCAGAGGAAGTGGTCAAGGCTGGTACAATTACACCATTTAAAAGGCATGTGGATGGGTATATGAAAGGAAGGGTTTAGAGGGATATGGGGCAAATGCAACTAGTTTAATTTAGGATATCTGGTCTGCATGGATGAGTTGGACTGAATGGTCTGTTTCCATGCTGTACGTCTCTAGGTCTATAACTAGATGAAGTCACTGCTTTGAGTGAAAACGTGATAGAAGTAAACATATTAGAAGTTGAGGAAAGCAGTTTGAGACCTGAACAGTATCCTCTCTGTTCACAGAAGTTTGGAGTGTTCTCATATCTTCTGAGATAGCTGTCTGACTACTACCCTGTCTTGCTCTCCTGATGGTTGGGTAACCTTCATTTACTATCCAATATACTATGTCCAGTCTGCTGTGTTTTCTTCATACTATCCAATGATTCCCCCAAACTCTTTGCTTCCTGCAGCCAGCCTCTATGGAGTGTCACCACCTTTCCAGTCCGTCTTCAGCTTTGCTGAACTTTGGCAGTGCATGGAAGGTCCTACACAGAATGTTAGGGAACCTGAAGTAAAATAGAATGAAACTGATAATAACAATGAGAAGTCTGAACCAAGTTTAAACAGCAAATGCTGTGAAGCGCAACATCTTTGTGTTCTCTTATAACAATCACCTTGAAAAAGTATTTTTAATGAGTGGTTTTTATTTTGTTAGATCGCTTGTTTGGAATCATAACAGAAATTGATGGAGAAACTCAACAGGTCTGGCAGCATCTGTGGAGAGAAAACAGAGTTAGCATTTTTGAGTCCAGTGACCCTTTTTCAGAACTTGAAACATTAACTGTTTTTTCTCCACAGATACTGCCATGTCTTCTGAGTTTCAGCAGCGATTTCTGATTCAGTTAGTTTCAGATCTCCAGCAGTTCTTTGTTTGATTTCATTATTTTGAACTATAGTAGATTAGACCTTTAAGTTCTTAAGGCTGAAGAGTTTTCTACTAATAGCTATCTGCAATTTATAACATCTTAAATTCAGATATATCAGTTTTTATTTTGCCAACATTAAAAAAATACATTCTAAATATATTTTATCTTCTGTCTCAATTAACTGAGCATACTAAATGTATTTTAAATATAGAATATAATGGGCAGAATGTTTCAGCAGTCTCTTAAACATATTGATGCTTTTTTTTTTCCAGATGATGGGAAGACTGAACTCAATGTTTCTTCGTTGAGTCTCCTACCTAAGAAAATATCTATTAATTAAATTAACGTTTATAAATAACATGGCTCTGGAATTCATTATACAAGAAATATTAATTAAAAAAGAAATTTTAAGAAAGCAAAATCAGGTCATTTGATTGACAATAGATCACAACAATTAAGAATAATTCAACATCTAACAATTTATCACACATTTCCACAAAGTTTATGACAGTAAATGTGAGTTACAATAAAATACCTCGCTGCACACTATGTGAGGTACAATTATTTACCTTTAAACAAGGAGGTTAAATAATGCAGATGCTGCAAGTCTAAACCTGCTAGAAAAGTTTCCACTTTCAAGTTCCACTCCAGAGACCTGAGCACAGCATGCAGTATTGAGGGGAACAAACAAATAGAAATTACTAGGGAAAATTAGCATGTCTGGAAGGATCCGCGAAGAGAAAACAGAGTTAATGTTTCAACTCCAGTAACCCTTCTTCAGTACTGAAGGGAGTGCCTCACTGATCTCTTTCAGGTGAAAGCTTAAACCGAGGGCCTGTCTGACCTATCCGGTGAACCAAACAGGATTCCATGATGTTATTTTGGAGGAGGGTAGCAGAGAGGATTACAAGAGACCCAAAGAATATACGTCCAACAAAGCCACAGTGAGAGCAGCAGATAGCTACATGGACAAATACTGAAGTAGTGATGCAACAACTGCAACAATAGGATGCTGGCTGATGAATCGCAATATTACAAAGGTGGAAATAGGCTAGTGAAGAGATAAGGACTCTACAGCTGGAACTGGATTACTGAGCAAGGAATTGAAGGAGAACGTATGGGAAAGAGAGAGCTTCAAATCTTATAATCATTCATCAGATGTAGTCATCACTGGCTGGACCAGTTAATGCCCATCTCTGTTTGCCCTGGAGAAGGTGGTTGTCAGCCTCCTATTTGAGCCACTGGAGTTCATGGTGGGGTGGGGGTTAGGTACATGAAGAGTGTGTCAGGAAGGGAGTTCTAAGCCTTTGACAGTGAAGGAACAGTAACCTATCTCCAGGTCAGGGTGGACAGCATCTTGAAGGGGAACTTACAGCGTGTGGTGGTGCTCACATGCAGCTATGGCCCTTGTTGTGACTGGGTGTTGGGCAAGTGATAGCCTTATTAGTCAGCTAATATGGGTTATGGCATATCTCATTTTTTAAAAAAGTACTTAAATTAACAATTGTGGCATTGAAACATTTAAGTTGAAAGAGATACATATATAACAAAAAGGAAAAATTACAGCATTAAAATTCTCTTGAACCACCACTACTAACCCCCCCCCCCATAGAAATACAATTTCAGGATCACCGAGGGAAGAAAAAGCAGCTTGTGTCCAATATTAAATTGACCATTTACTGTTCTGCTGAACTCCTATTTTGTAGAAGAATCCATGACAGTCTGAAACCAGAAAAATGTATCTCCAAAGCAATGAAATTCCTTCACCCCAAATTGTGAAACAGCAGTCTTAGAGTTAATTTAATGTTGAAGAGTTATTTTAATCAACCTGTTCATATATGATATGACACACCACCAGGTCAGATGGGACGAACCCAGATCATCTTGCTCAGCACAGTGCAGTAAGACTCCAAGTAAATCCAAATTCTACAAGCTGGTAATCTTCTGATGCTAAAACAAGTGTGACAATACTCTTAGGCATCAGTTCTACAGTTTTTCCCCCTAGAGAAATAGGTTTTTAGGGTATTTATCCACGAGGAGGATTTGATTCTATTCTCTACTAAGAAGGAAGTTGGAATTGAGTATTGCCTTTAGCAGCTGCTCTTTTCCATTTTTTTAATTTTCAAAAAATACACTTTATTCGTAAAAATATCTTTATATACATGCATAGCCAGTAGAGCAGTTCGCTTCTGTAAGGACTTTACATATGAAGGACAAACAAATCCAAAGCATTCGTTACTTACACATGATTACATTTGAGGCACCGTGAGGATTGATAACTGAACGGAAGTGTTTTATTTTATGTGAAGAGTTGGAGGAAGAGAATGCAATCTTACCAGCCGAGATACTGTCATGGAGCTACTTCAGTATCAACCTCTACAGACATGTTATGACAGACCTCTCAGGTATGCAGGGATTCGAACACAGATCTCCTACCTCAGAGCTTGGGATACTACCATCGCACCAGAAGACTCTAAAACCTACTTTGACATACTGTGGCCAAACTAACTATCTGGTCAGTGATGAAGCCACCTTCAGCCCCTCTGTCGGGCCTGTTCAGGCGGCAGTAGGTGATTAGGCAGTTCTTGTCAATTCCTGTCTCCCAGCCAGTATCCAGCACTTAACTGACTCACCCTGGATTACATTCACCGCTGGCCTCGGCTCATTTTGTACACGCCTCATACAGGTATCTGCAGAGGATGGACTAACTGAGGAGACCTTGCTTGGTGATTAAACTGCAAATAACGCGAAATACTCCTACTCCCCCAACCCACCCCCTACTTCTCCTTTAAGACTCTCTTTATATTCAGGACGTCACAAGTGCGTTAACTGGCAACTGGTGTGACATTAGATGAAGGGGTTGGGTCACAGTTACTGCTAAATGAGCCAACTCTTCTTAACTTTCACGTTCACCGCTTCCATCAGCTACAAAGTGTAGGGCTACTCAACAACTTCTGCTTTCAGCCACCATGAGTTAGCTGTTGCAACACATTTCAGTCTCCCTTTGATCACTTTATTAGCGTGATTTTAAACCAAAGTGTCGAGTGTAACTTTGCACCCAATGATAATCACACAAATCTGAGGAGTGAGCATGGAGTTGCGGTTTGGATAACATCAGGTTCAACATGTTCTGGTTTGCCTCTGAGCCGCAGGGCCTGCTTTGGGAGTTGCTTTTGATGGGAGTTATGTTAGATGCTGCGTGCCCTCCGACATGTCACTGCGAACAATTTCAAGTGAATTGCAGCAACGCTGACCTGACGACCTTTCCAATAGCCCTTCCACTGAACACCAGGCGCCTCCACTTGAACAGCAACGGCATCGCCGAGATCAATTCTCTGGAACTCAACCTGCTCAGCGACTTGGTCTATCTGGATTGCAGCCATAACAGAATAGCAGAGATTTCGAGGCTGCATTTCATCGGCGTGGTGAAGCTGGTCTACCTGGACCTCAGTTACAACAACTTGAATAGGATTAGCTGGACGACTTTCGGGCCTTTAACTAACTTGATCACCTTGAGGCTCGACAACAACCAGAATCTGAGCGAAATCGAGAGCGGCGCCTTTTCGACCAACGTGGGGCTTCGTGAAGTCAATCTCAGCAACAACGGCTTGTTATATTTGAACACTACCTCGTTAAGGAACCTTGAAGGGTTGAAGGCCATTTACTTGGCTGGTAATCCCTGGGAATGTCAGTGCACAATTGCACATCTCAGTGAGTGGATGTATGAAAACAATGAAACCTTTCCAGGTGAGGTTCACATTCAAAAACTATAATCTATTCATTTCATGTATGCATGATATTATTTCTAGCAACGCGGTGGGTGCTAAGGTTGTTGTGAATACATTGGAAAATTATTTTTTTTTAAAAACTTGTGTTAGCCGACAAGATGGGTATTCTGATTTAAGGAATAGGCTATTTAACTCTTCCAGCCCAATCCGCTGCCACTCAGTCAGATCCTGGCTGATCTGCAACCTAACTTCTTAGACCTGCCTGTGCTCTATCTCCTTTTAAAACCTTTGGCAAAGGAAAAGTTAAAAATATTGTAGTCACTGAGAGTCTGAGTTATGAATCAAAAGTACTAGAAGAAAACTCTGTAGGTTAGGCAGCATCTGTGGAGAGAAGCACAAGTTCACATTTCATGTTGATGACCTTTCATCAGATTCTCATTATTTAAAAATATCAATTTCAGTTTTAAAATTAATAATTTTAATCAAACATCAAATGATCATTTCCAGAAGAGAATTCCAAACATCTACCCTTATCTGTTCCTTTATCTAGACCAATGGAAATAAGGTAGAATGGAATAAGTTGGTTTCCCATTCATATCTCAAAAGCATCAATCAATTCTGTCACTAAATTAATTTCCAGTGAATACATTGTGTAATCTCTCCTCTTAATTTATCCCTTCCAATCCACATTTGATTCTGGTGAAATCACCTGCAGTTCTTCCTAAAGTGTGGTGCCCAAAACTGTTCACAGTATTCCAGATGCATTCTAACCAGAGCATTTTCACTTGCAGCTCAGTTTTAATACTTAATCCAAACCCAAGAGAGAAACAGAGTCAACTGTCAAAAAAGGCAAGGGCTCAATGATTAGCTGTAGGTGCTTTGCTTCTGGATTTGAACTATCGCAAGAACAGATATGAGTTCTAATTGACTGGAAAATCAATAAGATGAATAGATTTTTCTACATGAATTAGAGAGTGCAGGAGAAAAAATAATCCTCTAGACCCCCTTGAAATGTATAACAGTTCAACCAATCAGAGAAGTCGGAGAACTTGGTTCTCATGAAGGGTCTTCGATGAAACATGAATCTTTCATTTCCCTTCCAGGCAGGCTGAAACTTCCGCCTGTTTATTTCCAGTATTTTCCATGTTTTGCAGACCAGGTTTTAGATTGAAGGAGTCAAGCTTTAAAAGCAAATAAAGGGACTAATTTTGCATGAATAGCTGTGATTATTAGGGGAGTCATAGGATAACATTGGTGGGTAGGAAAGTGGAGTTAAGGCCACAATCAGATCAGCCATGATCTTATTAAATGGCAGAGCAGGCTCCTATTCCAAATTTTTATCTTCATATATGGATTTGAATTAATATTTGGGCTAATATCTCTTAAAGTAAGAAGGAAAACGTTGAGGGTGCATGTGCTGCATAAATCTTGTTGAAATAATTCTGAATAAAGTTAAAGGCTTTGCAATTTTAATCGACCAGATGCCAAATATGTCCAGTTGATATAGAACAGCAGTCAGTGAGACTAATAAGGTGCTGAATGTCATATCCAAAGTTATAGACTAGAAGCCAAAGGTCGTAAAATAGTGATCAAACTGCATCCAGTTCCAGTTCTCGCCCCTAAGGAACAAGAAACACACATGTTTAAGCACTGAATGCACTTTTGAGAAGATCCGTCAAGTTATGCCCAGTGACAACAGTCTGAATTGAGAGAGATTGTGTTTTCAGTCTTGGAAATTAAGCCCCATTGAGATGATCTTACAGATTTGTGTTAGATACTTAAGGCAATAAATTGGAAACAACACCCTAGAAAATTATGTTAACTTAAACATTGGGACACAGATCCTAACAAGCAGAGGTAACTTGGGAGTTGATATCAGGGAATTTGTGTACAGGGGCAAGGATGTCTTACTGCAGCTGTACAGGTGAGACCATACCTGGAGTATTGTGTACAGCTTTGGTCTTCGAACCTAAGAAAGACTAAAATTGTCATAGAGGGAGTGCAGTGAAGGTTCACCAGACTGATTCCTGGGATGGCAGGTTTGTTGTAAGAGGGACGTTTGGGTTGATTTTACGTCTGTATTCACTAGAGTTTAGAAGAATGAGAAGATCCATTCAACTGTACAAAATTCCAACAGGACAAGATAGATCTGATGCAGGAATGACAATTCCTCTCTGGGGTCGAGAACAGGGGATCACAATCTTGGGATGTGTGGTAGGCCACTCTAGACTGAGGTGAGGAGAATATTTTTCATTAAGAGCACAGTAAACTTGTTGAATTCCGTACCTGATAGGGCTGTGGAAGCTAAGTCATGAAATATATTTAAGAAAAATATAAATTTCTAAACACCGAAGGTATCAAGAGGTATGAGGAGAGAGCAGAAGTATGGAGTTGAGACAGAAGATCAGCCATGACTATATTGGATGATGGAGCAGGCTAGATAGACTGAATGATCTACTTATGCTCCTATTTTCTATATCTCTATTATTCAGCAAACACAGTGACCATTGCTGGAGAATGATCATCCAGATAGGGCCGTGGGTGTAAAAACCTCGTAATCATCTAAGAAACAAATGGATGCTGATGCAAGGGATATTAAGATGAATTAAGATGGCTCTTTTCACCTGCAATTTTCCTTTTGAACTAAAGGCACAAAGGCCAAGGATTGCTTTGCAAATTGTTGTTATTGGAGGTGATCCTCTCTACTGAGTGTCTGTACTTGGTCCATTACAACCAAACTATTAAAGTCAAAAGCCACCAATTTCAAAATTTGTTGCTACCCCATTCCACCTCATAATAAAAGTCTTAGTCAAACGGCCCATTAATTATAAATACAATTTCTTGTCAATTTTTTAAACCTTTTTTCTCTACCATTTAAGTATCCACAAGCACTAAGAATATTTTGCACCTTGTTGGATTTTTGTACAAAATAGTTTTCTTTCAAAAAAAAGTCAAATTATAAATTTGAGAGTTTAAATAACGCTTACCCGATTTTCCTTGCATAAAGTTTTGCAACTATTCCCAGGAACATTTCCTCAGTGAATGTGGACTTCTCCTGGAAATGGGTTTGATTTTTAATTCTATGGAAGAAATTTTATTACTTGAATAAAATGGTATTCCTGATAAAAGAAATGCCAAATTCCTTATTTATCAGTGACTATCATCTAGATATTTTCTAATCAACCTGTTCAAAGATGTTATTACACACCTCTGGAGTATGTGGGACTTGAACCTGGGCCTCCTGGCTTAGAAGTAGGGACACAAGGAAACTTACCACTCTCAGCACCAGTTTTGTATTAGACTGTTTAGGAGGGACACCTGCTCTCCTACAGATACAATATCACTGGAGTCTCAGCTCAACTCCAGGTCTCAGACAGGAAATTTAAATTTCAATGTTGAAAGCACCTACTACCACAAAATGCTATTGACAATTTTGGTTCTCTATTTCCCAGAAAATACTTGCGTTTTATTTCTGCTTCACTTTAGAAGAGTCTTTTTTTCTTGATGTTCCGAGATCATTTAATTTAGAAAACTTGAACCGACAACATATTTTCTTATTTTGCTTTTCCCCGATAGTTGGTTCCCATTAATTTCAAACTCAAGCTTGGTTTTGAACCACGATCGAATTATTTTACACATGTAAGTGACGTTGTGTCCTCCATCACTTCTGTTCACAGGCACGAGAAACGTTTGCATTGCTGAGTCCTTTCAGCACTGAGAATGTGGCTACAGGAGTAGGCCATTCAATTAGATCACGTTAGATTGCAGATGGAAGTCCCATTTGTCAGCCTTTTCCTCATATCCCCTAATGTCTTTGAATAAAATTATATGTCTCCGATTAACATTTGATCCATTATCAATTGCCATTTGCAAAAGTGCGTATCAAACACCTACCACTGTTCGGAAGTAAAAGTGGTTTCTGACTACATCCCTGAAAGCAATGGCTCCAACCTACATTCCACATCCTCTAGTCCTCAATTACACAAACAACAGAAATAGTTTCTGTCTCCTTTCCCAATCAGTTAGTACCTCTTAATCTCGTGAAAATACCTATTCTTTTCAATTCCAGGGAGTATGACCCTAATTTGAGTTGTTTCAACTGTACCTTGCCCCATGGGATTCGGGTATTTTTGGTAAATCTGTGCTGCTTTCCAAAAGATAACCTTTACAGTTCTGAGGTATTTTTGTTGAAAATTATTTCAAAATAAAAGTTACATGTACATACTACTTTCAATGACACAATAAAACACAAAAGGTGTGTACTTTTAGATCTATGTGCGTTTGAGTGTATAGTTTTTAATTTGCCTATATTCTCTTTTGTGTTTCATACCATTCTAATAGCAACTAAATAAAGGGAAGTAATTTGCTTTTCATTTAACAGATGAAGATAACACTTTATGCACTTTGCCAAAATCAATGGTTGGAATTCCTGTCTCCGTGGCTTTAATCAAGATATTCGATATTTGTCGCACACCTCTGGGTTACTTCGACTATTTATTTTTCGTAATAGTTGGTTTCGCAATATTTATCAGTGGTATCGTTGTTGCCTCGCTTGCAGGTACAGTGATGGTCTTCTTTGAACATCATAAGTTGTTTAAAGATGATGATGAAGAAGACATCAAACAATATAGGTCAGATAAGACTACTGGAAGGTTTACCAACATCAACTTATGATAGGGGACCTTGCAGAAATATCATGCTACCACTACATGTGTGTAATTACCAAGGTCATCTGTAGGTGTCATTATTATGGTCACATGCCAATGGATCAATGCAATGATATATTGTGGAAAACTGGAGTGCATCACTCTTAAATTATCATGGTTCTTGTTACTTTACACTTCCTTTGCTGTTTATGTATTATCAGTAATATACATTTATTTTGTAAACTATATGCCAATAAACTTTGTACTCATTTTCAAAATCTGAGACTGTACAGTGTCGATGACTGCACAGAGGATCTTTTCCTCCCCCTTTATAACATTTAACATGGGGTGAACGTCAGATTATTTGTATGAGAATCAATACACTAAGGTGTTTATGCCAGTGGTTATGTTCCATTTGAGCCTCCTCCCAGCTTTTCTCATCCAAATCTATGATCAGAACCACCCTACTCCTAGGAACTGAACTTAGGATGCTCCTGAGGAAAGTCCTTACCAACGCACCATCGCCAGCAATTTTGGATCTGTAGTGCCACTGGAAATGTCGTGGATGCCAGAGGCTGAGTGGGATGAGTGTGAAGTGCACCATCTTTAGGTGATCTGCTGTACAAACTATCCTTTCTCCTGACCCAATGACAGCCTTTTGTGTCCAGTGGCTCACTACAGATCCTAACTTCAAGCTACCCTTTAAGGTAAGTGCAATGCCAGTATCTGAACTACAAGTGTTCTAATAGGTAATGGAATGTCTACTCTCTTTCTCCTGGGTGTGCTGTGATACACAGGCAGCAGTTCATGGGCAAGGGTAGGAAACCAGAAGGAAAAAGCTGAGGTGAGGGAGTAAGATAGAACAGGATCTAACAAGTCCATTGCCTGTCCATATGCAACTTGTTCATCATGGCAGACAGTAGGACGAGGGTATGCTGGGAGTTAAGAAGTGGTATAACACACAAATATTCCGCTCTCTTCAAAGTCCTCCATGCTGCCTGTCGACTGTTGTTGAATGCAGTCAGACCACAACAAGAAGAACCTTTGCCATTATTGGGCTCAGGAAATTCAGATGCCTTTGTCCCCCACCAGTTCTGGCCCAAGATCCTGAATCTGACATGCTATGTATCTCTGTTTGGCTCCTGGGCCAGTGTTCAACATACAGGTAGGTGGCATTGACCGATCTGCAAGGAGCACTTCCACGAATCCACAATCATTTCACTCCCATATTTGCTGCTGATAGACTCAAACATAAGAGAGCACCACTGTGGTGAGATGAACAAAGAGCAGTGCCATGGTGTGCCAGAGTGGGGTATGGAGGCATGGCTGCAAGTGAAGCTGCATGTTCTGGATGGGTGTCCTCTACATAGTGCCAACCCTTTAAAGGGGCACCGGTGTCAGGTGTCGCAAAGGAGAGAGGGTGCAAGAAAGAAACAGCTAGGAGGAGGGGTGGGGTGTGATAGTGAGAGGGAAAGAGTGAGGGGTGGACAGTGCATATCAGGGAGGGACAGTGAGGGAGGTCAATATTTGATGGAGTGGGGGGGCAGTGTGTGTGAAAGATTTGAGGGATTGGGGAGTGTCTGGGAATGGGGCAGTGTGTGTATGTGAGGGAGGGAGCATGTGTGAAGGAGTGTGGGAGGGAGGAGTGTGAGGAAGGGATGGGGAATTTGCATGAGGGAGGGATAGTGGAGTGTCTGTGACAGAGTGTGTGTGTGTGTGTAGAGAGAGAGGGAATGCATGTGTGTAGAGCAGAGATGGAGGTTGGGGGGGTGGATGTATGTTAGAGAAGGAGTGAGGAGGAATTTGTATTAGTGAAGAGGAATATGTGTGAGAGAAGGAGAAAGAATTCAATGGATGAGAGAGAATTTGCGTGACATAGTGTGATGGAAAGTGTATGTGTGTGTGTATGAAGATGTATATGTCTACCATGAACAATGGAACATAATCCTGATTACTGTATATCAAAAGTTCAATATTTTTATAAGTAATGTTTCTTTCTTGAAGAGGGCATACAGCCAAACAGTGACTTTGAATTTAAATTCAGTGACAGTGATTCTGGCAAAGCTTAGAGAGGAACCATGGAATGTTAGATTGGAAAAGGTGCCAAGAGAATTTCAAACAGCCACTCTTCACAGGGAGAGATGTAATTCAAAATAAACTAGACTGTATTACTGGTGGCTATAGAGGTAATGAGAGGCTGACTACCCCTCTCAGCAGAAAGCCATCTCCTGTGAATTATGTTCCAAGCTGTGGACATTTTTTGTGTTTTACCCTTCCAGGAATGTCCAAAAGATTTCTTCAAAGCTAACTACAATCCATAAGACATGAGACAGACATAAGCCACTTGGCCCAATGAGTTCAATGACATCATGGCTCCTCTCATAATCCTCAACTTCACTCTCCTCCCTATTCCCCATAACACAGAGAGGATTGACTTAAGCAGGGGTACTACATTGGTTGTCATCAAATCCTCTGGGGCATTTCCAGAACCTAGGTTACTACAGTGGACGCACCATCTCTATCCTCCTTCCTTTAGTATCCTAGGATGCAACCCATCAGGCCCAAGGGACTAATTAGCCTTTAGCCCTATTAGTTTCCATAGTATTTTTTTCTGTAGTAATAGTTGTTGTAATTGTTTACTCTTCCCCCATTTTACCCTTTGATTATTTAGGGTTTTATTGGAATGCTATTAATATCCTCTATTGTGAAGACAGATACAAATACTTAACTCGTGTGCCGTTTTCTCATTCCCCATTTTTACTTCCCCACCCCCAATCTCTTAAGAGATTTATATTAGCTTTGGGATGAGTGTAGGACCAGGGAAATGGGCCTGTTGCACCAGGAGGCAAATTGCAAAGGATCAAGGTAATTTGGTAAGTTGGAGTTGATGTGAGCCATGACTAACCTCGCGAAGCACCAAATAATTATGGAGGTCAGAGCCACTGGCAGTCATTGAAGCACGTTGTCCATGATTTTTTTTGGCGCTGGGACGATGGCAGTCTTCTTGAAGCAGGTGGGGACTTCAGATCGTAGTTAGGAGAGGTTTGGAGATGTCTGTGCATACACCCGCCAGCTGGTCCACATGGGATCTGAGTGCATGGTCAGGGACTCCGTCTGCGCTGGTTGCTTTCCGTGGGTTCACTCTCAAGAAGGTTGTTGTGTGGCAGTGACCATGGCTACAAATGTATCCAAGGCTGTTGGGACAAGTGCCATCGTTTCACTGACCTTTTCAAAGCAAGCATAGAATGCAATGATCTCATTGGGTAGGGATGAATTGTTGCCTGCAATTCTGTCTGAATTTGCTTTGTAGCGCGGCAGTTCTTAGGAAGAGTCTCTCAACCCGACAGCATCTGCGGTTCTTCTAGTTTTTACTTAACAACCTCTTAACCTTCTGCCAATACCTTTTTGCGTTTGGGGCTGTCAGGGTGGGATCCAACAAACTATCTGTCCTTGCCTGTGTGCCACATAACCTGTTCAAGAAAGGATTTGCAAAGCCAGCCAAGTGATAAAATGATATTGGGGTTGAAAATTCTCAGGTATGGTGAATCAATTTTTGACTAATGCGGCATGGTGGCTCAGTGGTTAGCACTGCTGCCTCGCAGCGCTAAGGACATGGGTTTGATTCCACTCTTAGGCAACTGTCTGTGCGGAGTTTGCACATTCTCCCCATGTCTGTGTGTTTCCTCCCACAATCCAAAGATGTGCAGGTTAGGTGGATTTGCCATGCTAAATTGTCCCATAGTGTCCAGAGATATTGATGGGAAATACAGGGATAGGGTGGTGGGTGGGTCTTCAGAGGGTCAGTGTGGACTCAACGGGCTGAATGACCTGCTTCCACACTCTAGGGATTCTATAATTTTTCAGATGATGGTTTAAACCGATGCCTCGCATCCCAATTCATTCAGGCAGATGCAAAATCCTGTGGCACTATTCTGATTAAAGTTAGGAGATTCCCCAGATGCCGTGGCAAATATTAGTTCTTCAAAAAGCCAAGAATGACTGACCTGGACATGTGTCTCAGTACTGTTGAGTGGGACATGCCTTTGCTGAAATTGACTGGTGCGTTTCCTTACAATAAATCAGCACTCACACTTTTTTGTATAACTTTTAAGTCAAGCATACCTTCAAATCCAGATTTTCACTGTCACTTCAGTGGACAAAGTTTTCAATAAACTGGATAATAGAGCAAACTTGAGCATAATTCAAAGCATGGGACAGTGGGATAAAAGTTAGATAGCTCCAGCAAAGAGATTGTCCGAGTAGCCTACTTATTTTTCTGTGCCCTCCAATGATTTTGCTGCCATTGCAGGGAAGCCAGAATTGATGAACACAAGCACTGGAGCTCATGTAGGAAATACTTGCATAGCAGTGATGAGGAGGTACACAAGAGCAGACCAGGAGAAATGGTTGGTCTCAATCATGCCAAAACTGGAAATGGGAATACAGAAATGATGTGTATACCTGGGTGGGGTGTGGATGCGGTTAGTGGGGGAACAGGGTTTATTTCCAAGAATTGTACCTAGGTACTTGCATCTAAGATGTCGCCGTAAGAAGGCAGACAGTGTAAAAGTTTTTCACTGTGCTCCTACAATGGAGCATATGTGACAATAAAAAGATATTATGTATTGTTTTTGTACTGTTTAAATGACAACTGGAATGCTGACAGTAGTTTTAGTTATCACACCTTAGGAGGAATATATTAGTCCTGGTGACTATGCAGAGGAGGATTATAAGAAATGATAGCTGGACTCCAAGGGTTAAATTAGAGGCAAGTATTTCAGGAATGAAATTAAGAACCAGTTCTACAAGAAAATGATGGTGAAATTTAAACCTCTCTTCTGCAAATGGGAATTGGTGCTGGATCAATTGTTAATTTTAAATCTGAGGTTGATAGACATTTATTATCCAAAGATATTAAAAGATTTCTAGTGATTTTAATAAGGTTGCAGATCAGCGGTGATAATTCCAACAGTTAAATTAATGTTTCTATACCCTCTCTGTGTCTTAACATATTTTGATCCAGCACTCTTGAAAATGTAAATCGACCCCAGGCCAACTTGGAATCTGTTATAGTTGTTGTGGTCTCTAACCTTGCTGGAACTTGTAGCATTAAGTGATCTTAATCTTGTAGTATTTTTACAAGATGAAAACCTATCATTCACTTATGTGATGCGGTTGCATTTCCACTTAGCCTTATGAAGGCTGATATCTGACATTCCAATTGTACTTTTGGGTTACA